CCCGCTGCTCTCGCTTCCTCCTACCTAACCTATCGCACCATTCCTCGGCGCTGACGATGGTTCCATCCAGAACCCCTGATACTTGGGACATCATGTCGAGTCCCTCCTTGGCAAGAACTAGTACCCGTTGGGCGCTCTCTCGCGTCTCTTTCTCTTGCGCTTCTCGTCCCGCTTCTCCTTCAACCTCGGGGTGACGACCGTCTTGTTGGCCATCACTAACCATGCTTGCAACTCGGAACCTTTGGGGCAGGCTCGTTAGGTGTCGTCGAACAAGTTCTCGCGCATTCTCCGGTAGCGCACCGCCGGCGTACCTGCTAACCGTGTTGATGACATCTTGAAGAGTTTTGAGCAAGTCTATACGGAGGTCTGTAATCTTCGCTGCGAGTTGGTTCCTGTCGGTAAATTCGCCATTAGATGTACCGTTCATGGAATGGTCACCATCTGATTGCCTTTCGGTTCTTTCGAACTTCTCCATAGTAGCTTTTAGAGAGTTGATGACATTTCCTATGCGCACATTAGCCCAGCGAAGCCAGCTTAGACAGTACTTGAGGCTGCGCAAGCTTTCCTCGCTCATGGCGATGCTTAGTCCGGACGTGGACATGATAAGACGGGATTGCCATGCTGCACTGTTCGGGCGTGATTCGGACGGCACAAACTGCTCTGCATATGGCGGAGATCGAAGGTCATCGTACGCCGGTAGGGTGTCTACGGTGCTTGCGACCGAGAGCCGACGATCACGGGAGTGGTCGAAGGATGCCCTCGGTGTTTGTACGCCGGACATGGGCTCCGGGGTAGGTTCCTTAAAGGTACCGGTCCCGTCGACTCTCCGGCGCTTGTTAGAACCGAAGTCTGCAGCTTCGAAATCGGAACCTTGCGACTTGTGTCTCCTTCCACCGCTTAGGAACCATCGAACACCACCTTCTACGCCGGTTACACGACCGACTGATCCTACGGTATTGGCGATAGGAATCACGTAACCCTCGACATACTCGGCGCTCGACTTAAACCTCGGTGAGTAATTCTTAGAGCTCACGTAGGCGGAAGTGGCACCCTCGATAGTTGTAGCAAGTAAGGGATGCGATGTAGTTAGTAGCGAGATGAGCGGCTCCGGATGGATACCGTTCGTTTGAGAGTGTGGCGAACCAGGTATCGGGACGTGATTATTCGGCGGGGAAGACACGAAATCTGCGAACGTTGCCTAAGGTTAATATTGTGCAATCAAACATGCAGGTGGCGCATGCGATAACCAACTATCACATATGAGAAATGACTACTAATAGCTTACCTGCTCTTAGATCACCTAGGGCTTCAGCTGCCATGCGTACATCTGGATCGTCTAAACTAACGCTACTGGCTCTTCCTTCTTGAAAGCGATCTGGCGATGGGGCGCTTACGCCACTGCTGCTGCTTGCGTCTACATCCATCCGCATTGGCGAGTCGGCATTCTGCGCGTGGCTTGGATTATAATATGCTGTTAAGGGATTTAAACTCGGCCAATGAGTAAGAGGTGGCGGCGCTGGGGGGGAGTATGCCGGTTCTGAAGGTTGAGGTGGAGTGTACAAAGGTGCGGATGAAGCTGTTAGGGCTGATAGAGATGGGAGATGATTATTGCCGCCGGGTTCTTTCTCGTCGCTGTTCGGCGGACTTATCGATTTAATGGGAGCGAGTTCAGTCTTTGGGGGATCGGGAAACCTTAAGCTAATAGGGTCGTGGGACTGTGCGTAAGACGGTGGAGGATATAGTGGAAGTTTAAAGGTCCGATCGAATTGACCAAATAATCCGGCCGTAGGGTCTAGCGGCGGTGTTGAATGTTGTGGTATTGAGTGTTGAAGTCCATGCTTTTGATCGTGATGCGGCGGAGGAGGAAGAGACATGTGATTTTGCTGTTCCATCGTTTCTGTTGGAACACGACCGAAAGCGCTTCTATCGAAGACACTCTTTTAACTGGCGATAGGTCGCGGGGAAAGGAAATACTTGGCGATCATTTGCGCATTGGCGATAAATTTGATTCGGAGAAGCTTAGTATCATGTATATCGGGTGCGCATTGATATCGAAAGGTGATATAGTACTATACAAACAAGTCGGACTATTTCGTTGAGAGCGTTGGGTTGAGTGGATGTCGGAAGATGAGTTGACTTATCGAATCAAATTACTTGATTATTCATTCATAGGAAGAAAATAATAAAATAAATACACGACTGATGAAGAAGAAAAAAAGCTGTAGTTCATATAATAGACAGGTAATAGTAAAAAGTGAAAGTAAGAGAAGTTAGTTATGAATGTCTCGGTAGATAATAGTAAGTACAATGAATAAAGGTCAGGCCTGATCAGATTTCGGTGTGAAAGATGATGGTAGCGATGTCAGAGACAGACAGGCCTGATCAAGAGAGAAAGACATGGACCATGGACCATGGACTGCCAGAAAAGTGTTATGGGGTCCCCGGGCCATCCAATATGCAGGTGCTCGTGGTGGACCGTAGTGGACCGCGGTGAACCTGGAATTGCGAAGAGATAAAAAAAAAAAGGTGGGAATGGGGGTGAGAGTAAGAATTGGCGGGAAAAGGTTTGCGCATTTGGCGACTTCCATAGAATTTGGGGGGGTGGTTACCAAAGTATCGTTACCAAATATCAAAAAAAGGGAAAGCCTAGGCTGTTGAACAAATCCAAACCTTCCTATCAGAAATTCTGCAATTGCTCAAGCGAGGCCCTTCCAGTGGTATTTTCGACTGGTCAGGCGGCCATCGACTGCTGCTACCTCGTTCCGCAGGGGAAGAGGCAAAGCACGCGGTAACTGGCAGGGTCTAAGTGGAGTATTTTATAGAGAATGACGACTTTTTACTGGTCAATCTTATGTCGGTTTTAGTTATGATTGGTTTGATGGTGTAATAGATCCACATTAAACTTCCCCAAAGATAGCACCGGAAATATCTATACAGTATTACGCACCGTCTAGACCCGATCGGCTTGTGAAAGCCTTACCTTACGATTTACCACACGAGCCAGTTACCCAATCGAGGTCAAAATCGTTCCGTTGTATACAACCTTTTCTCACGCCGGTCTTCCGTTTGGAACGACTTGTCGGCGGAATACGAAAATTGAGAAGTGATTATTATATATTATATGTCCGTAGGTAAACCCGGCCGCGTTGACATGTGCCGGCATGATTTCGTCAACCATTTCATCGATTTACTAATTCATCCATGCCATTGCAACACGATGGCCTGAAGAGACCTAAACAGCTAGGTTAAAAGAATCAACCGAATCTTCGATGCAATCATATGCTGTAATAATGAGACCGGAAAAGCAATAGATCATCGGAACTGACAGACGTTTACCGATGAGGAACGACTCGAGAAGGTACAAGCACGTGTTAACCAGCCTAAGTTGTATGGTTTAATTGTGTCCAAGTGATCACATGCAACTAATATTCTCTTGGCCACTAGGAGTAGAAGTTGATCCGTCATTATTGACACTGTGAAAGGGAAAAGAGAAAGACAAAAGCATATGATAATCGCTCGCTCCCCTTAGGATCTGAGACACGACGCCCTATGGAAGCCCGGCATTGAACGGGCAAATAATATCTCATCTGAGATCCTTTCAACTTCTCTCTAGCCACTTACACATCCTTTACTAACATGTGTTCTCGTGAGATTCATCCGATACATTCTTCCAACTCGTTCTAAGTGGCCGTGATCCGTAGTCGGTAGCCGTAGCCCGTAGCCGTTAGCAAGGGATACGCTTTGTTAGGGAGTCACGAGTTCCACTTGGGGCTGCTGTAGATCCCAACGTCACTGAAGCACCCTCGGTCTTAGTTGCACACCGCGTGGGCGAACTGACGATATTACCTAGTTGCCGACTAAGTGGGATTAAGTTGGGTTCAACTCAAATCTCAACGCTTCTAGAGCTGAAATTTTGGACGGTATAGCGTATGGGCTAGAGGTGTAGTAGATGCAGACATGATAAAAATTGAATGAAACTTGTAACGAAATTTACAATGATTGAGAAATTCGAGTCGAGTATTCACGATGCGAACTAGAATCAAGACCTAGACTCATATTGTCCTCTTGTATTCATACTCACCAATCATCAGCCGCTCACAATTAAGCATAATAACCATGAAACATTCTGCTAAATGTCTCACTCGTCATTACTAAACCTCGGCTGCAAACTGTGCCTCATACGAATGTCAGACGGATGACAACCGAATCTGAGGCATCTACATACTATTAGTCTAGCCGCGCGTGTAATACTACGGACTCCCACAACTCAAATAAGAAAATAAAAATTAAGAATAGTAAATAGTATGTTCGGTCCCTCTGACGCCGCCCAAGCAACAATATGTTACCAATACGGTAAAAAAATACTCGGGCAGCTCTTATGGTACCATATCAAATTGAATCCTTCTCCGCGCCTCGAAATCGCATGCTACACCAACGACGACACGGTAAGAAACCAACAGAATGCCGGAACTAGTTGTGTGGTAAATAATGAGCTGCACTGTCTAATGGACGCGTTGAAGAAGAAAGGAAGAGAGAGAAGACAAGAAAAAAAAGTGTTTGGAAAGTTATCGTGAAAGAAAATTTTGGTGGGTCCCGAGTAGGCTCCGCTTTGTCACATGACTTTGTAATATGCCCATAATTTTAGGTAACAGAAGCCCGAATCCATGCTTAAGGCTAAGATGAGGCTAGTATATGTGGCTTGACAAGGGATGAGACCCAGTCTTTGGCTTGGAACTTCAGCAACTTGAAGCAACGTGGGGTCTCGAAAGCTGTCCTACGAATTGTGTGGTTATGCGATCTACCAAAATAGTTATCTTTCACTTGGCGAAGAGCTTCTCTACTTTATCTACCAAATACTTTATGACTTCATATGCGCATTAGGAACTACGCGTAATTTATTCGTTGAATGACTGAGAATTTCTGAGGCTCGCTGTCTGGCCTAAGTGCCAATTGACACCCTTTCCTATTCGCGCCCCTGAATCAAGCTCCAGACCGACATCATGGCATCAGCTGTATTCTTTCTCGATCTGAAGGGCAAGGTGCGACTATCACAGTTCTATAATATCTGGTGCTGTGTGTTTGCTGACACATTGTCCATAGACCCTACTTGCCCGAAACTATCGAGGTGATATTCCCATGTCAGCTGTCGAGAAGTTCCCTATACTCCTTAGCGAAGCCGAAGAAGAGTCCTCCGCCGTTCCGCCATGCTTCTCCCACGAAGGCATAAACGTGTGTATTTGAGAAGCTACCTTTATATATCCAATATTGATTGCTAGTAGTACTTATATATCCGACATAACAACCTATATCTCCTTGCCCTAACAAAGCGAAACACGAATGCCGCCGAGATCCTACTTTTCTTACATAAAGTCGTCGAAGTCTTCACCGAGTATTTTAAAGCGCTAGAAGAAGAATCTATCCGCGACAACTTCGTCATTATATACGAGTTACTGGACGAGATGATGGATTTCGGTTACCCTCAAACGACAGAGTCCAAGATTCTCCAGGAGTACATCACCCAGGAATCGCATAAGCTAGAAGTGCAAGCTCGGCCACCTATTGCCGTCACTAATGCCGTGTCATGGCGGTCCGAAGGCATAAGATACAGAAAGAACGAAGTGTTTTTGGACGTCGTCGAAAGCTTGAACTTGTTAGTATCAGCGAATGGAAACGTATTAAGGTCGGAGATTCTCGGCGCGATCAAGATGAAGTGTTATCTATCCGGAATGCCAGAGCTGCGACTTGGTTTAAACGACAAGGTCATGTTCGAAACGACTGGAAGGACAACGCGAGGCAAGGCTATCGAGATGGAGGATGTCAAGTTTCACCAGTGCGTCCGATTATCACGCTTCGAGAACGACAGGACCATCTCTTTCATCCCTCCGGATGGCGAGTTTGAGCTGATGAGCTACCGATTAAACACACAGGTTAAACCTCTGATCTGGGTCGAATGTGTGGTCGAGAGTCACTCAGGATCCCGAATCGAGTATATGCTAAAAGCAAAGGCGCAATTTAAGAGGAGGAGTACAGCCAACAATGTCGAAATTATTGTCCCGGTCCCCGACGATGCTGACTCTCCTCGGTTCCGAACAAATATCGGTAGTGTTCACTACGCCCCTGAGCAGAGCGCCATCGTATGGAAGATTAAGCAGTTCGGTGGTGGCAAGGAGTTCCTCATGCGAGCTGAGCTAGGACTACCTAGCGTGAGAGGTGACGACGAGCACGGAGGAGGAATGACAGGTGGTTTTGGCGGAAGCATGGGCGGCGTCAGTGCAGGCAAAGGCGCCAAGAGGCCCATTCAGGTCAAATTTGAAATCCCCTATTTCACAACTAGCGGTATTCAAGTGCGTTACTTGAAGATCACAGAGCCTAAGGTATGTTACCCCTTTTCCAGCCCAGCCAAATACGTATTAACCTCGTCTCTAGCTACAATACCCATCGTTACCCTGGGTTAGATATATTACTCAGTCAGGGGATATCGCTGTGCGGTTACCAGATGCTGTATGAGAGGCCCATGTTGACCTATAATGTTTAACGAAGATGTTACTTTTCGATAGGTCTAGAGAAAAGTTTCAGGTAGAGTTGATCAGTCACAACTGGTCAATGGCGACGTCGGACATGAATATTAAATGACTTTTCAAATCATATCGTCCGTATACCCGTTGTGATTACATTATTTTACAGATCTGTTTCCGAGGCTGTGTCCTAGGGTCTCCTAGGGTCCTTTCCAGTCTATGAAGAGCTTAGGATTATTCCGAGACACAATCCCTTATGCTCCTTGTGAGAGTTGACGGTCTACTACGACTTGTAATCTCCCACTTGTCGTTTCTCACTCGCTTTGTAAGAGCTAAGCACATAGGTAGGCAATGAATGACATTGATCATCACAGCTTCATAAAGTAATTTACTATATACTACGTCGTCCCTCTCACTCTACAGCATTTCCTAGCACCAGAGTGTCTTCCACTCTAGCAGTACCACCTATCCCAAATCAAGAGTCATTATCAATAGCGTTTTCACCACATCATCATTACCTTCAAATCTCCAGCTCTCGCCATGCGCTTAATCGACGTCAACACCCTTGAACTCAAGGAGTTTTTCAGCGAGAAGGCGCCACCGTACGCCATCCTATCGCACACATGGAAAGGTGATACAGAGGTGACGTTTCAGGAGTGGGAGCGCACCGCTACCGATAGTACCATTAAGCGCAAAGAGGGCTATACTAAGATCGTGGGGGCATGCTGTCGCGCGCGTTCCGATGGCTTACAATACCTTTGGTGTGACACCAACTGTATCGACAAGAGTAGCTCTGCTGAACTTAGTGAGGCTATCAACAGCATGTTCGCATGGTACCGCGACTCGACCGTGTGTTACGCGTATCTCTATGATGTCCAGGCAGAGATGGACACATTCACCAAGAGTCGTTGGCTAACAAGGGGCTGGACGTTGCAAGAGCTACTCGCTCCAAATAAGGTCATCTTCTTTGACCACAATTGGACAGTGCTAGGGGATAAGAGTGACTTGGCTGAAGTGATCTCAGGTATCACCAGGATTCACATTGGTGCATTGAGGGATCGTTCAACAATCTACAATTATTCTATTGCTCAGCGCATGTCTTGGGCAGCCGATCGTCAAACAACGCGCCCAGAGGATATTGCATATTGTCTTCTCGGCATTTTCGACATCAACATGCCTTTATTATATGGCGAAGGGACAAGGGCCTTTGCTAGGCTACAGCGGGAGATTATCAAGGTCTCTGATGACCAAAGTATCCTTGCATGGGATTTACAGCACTCTGATACTCGTTCTCTAACGAGTGCTTTAGCTTCATCACCTGATGAATTCCGGTTCTGTGATTCCATAGCTAGAAGTGTTGGGATCCAACACTTGCCGTACTCGATTACAAATCTGGGGATATCCATGAACCTTCCCCTTATCGAAACCCTCGTAGGCGAAACAGTTTTAGCAGGATTGAACTGTGCCAAAGAGCTGCACCGAAAAGCGGCCCATTCCAAAATGCCGGGTGGAATTGAAATTTCTAGACAATTCCAAATTTGGATTCCTTTATATCGTTCAAGACATAATATTTACTTTAGGGTACACCATTCATATTCCAAATTGTTCCTTGGCAATTTATATTCGATCCTCAGTCGTACAGTATCTACAAATCTGTTCTTGAGTTTAGACGTATCTCAAGCTCCCATTATACGACCCTTTAATAACCTGACTACTGCCCTACAGAAGCAATCAACATCAATCATACGTTCTGGATCATTAGTGATGGTTGCAGGAGGAGAAACGATGCCTGGAAGCTGTTCCCTGAAAAAGGCATATCCATTAGAAGATATTTCTATTGTGCAAATTACGCCTAAGGGTAATTTTATGGTTTCTCATCAACTCATATCCAGTGGTGAAATCTCTATACTTTTCTCGGTATTTTGGAGCAAGGATGGTTTGCCGCAGAAATGGTTACATACAACAATTCTTCAACCACAACTTCAAGACACTAGCCAAACAATTTCTCAAGACTTAGCTAGTCTTTTCGGAACAAATGACTATCGGAAAACCTTCCAGAGTTGCAATAGCATTATCGCGATGCAAGCACTCCATGCTAAATTGCAGCAGTTGCACAGCAAACCACCACTACGAACGGTCGTGGGAAAAGAAATGGATCCTATTATAAATATAGAAGATCAACATCTGCGTGATTCATTCGGGGGGGTTAACCTGGTCGTTGAGGTTATATTTCGGAACGCGCCTAAGTTTGTGGGCAGCCAACATCCCCGGTTTTGGTGTAGATAATGTACATAGTGTGTTGATACTCCCAGAAGAGTCTATGTAATACCACTTATGTATGCTTATCACGCCAGGCTTCTGGGGCTTTCATAAAGCAAATAGGATGTTTAATATTATATATTACACACTCTCCTTCTACGTATTAATATTTACAATAACATCCCACTAATGACTACAGCGTCATATTTAATACTCAAGCAATGTTAGGACGCTCGGGAGAAACGGCAGATAAGTTGTCCTGTCAGGTTTGAGGCACATTCTTTCTAAGTGTAGGCTACCTTCATGATAAAATAATAAGCATTGCTTTCTTATTTCTTTATATAAGTTCTAATGTATACCTTGCGTCATTTCCGGCGTTGTGTAGCAATCGTTTTTCGTAATTTGCCGTTGGTGTTGTTTCAAGCGCCCTCTTGAGATCAACCTGGTCTAACTGATGGTTTTTGATTTGCCATAACTTTTGTGTATCAAGGGACAGTATTGACTCAGGCGGTTTCCATCTATTTCGGAGAAGGTGTATAATCGAATGAATATCATGTCCAACGATAATTACCTTTGGGAACTCTGTTATCAAAGGCTCAAGGAGGTTGTCGAAGGTCTGAGCTATCTGAAGCTCGTTGATTACTTTCGTATTGCCAAAGGCAAATATGTCAGGCTCGCATGGCACGTATATATTCTTCAAAAACATATTTTCCTTGATCTTCCAATGATAAGAGTATGTAGTAGCATACTCGGAAGAACTCGCATACCATGTGCATATTCCAATGTCAGTGATCTTGCTCTGGTCTTGATCCCAAGAGTTTACGTTGACCGAAACGAAACTAACAGTCCGACTTTCGAATTCCTGCAAAATACCAGCTAATCTTTCCTCGTCGTTCGCATATTGAGGGTTGAGAGCTGCTAAGTTGCCGCCAAAAATTTGAGTTGGAATATTTCGGGTACTAAGTAATAGTTTTATCCGATTGAAGAAATATTTAATTGCGGCGATTAATAAGTTAAAGAGGCTACGATACCAGGTCATTATAACAGTGTGATCCTAGTGAACGCCTGTAAGTATAAATTTCGAATTATTCGTTAGATTAACTTGATTATAATATGCAAGAAGCGCTGGGATAGATTTGCGGCTGCTATAAAAATTGGAAAGAGATAAATACTCAGCATGTAGTATATAGGTTGGCTTGTTTGTGATAAATATGTTAAATAGTTATAAGGTTGAAATAATTTTACTAGGTTAGATCGTTCCTACGTCGTTTTCGAGGTAGCGTGTTAAGGGGATAGAACGCTTTGTATCCTTTGATGTGATACTACTCAAAGCCGCTTTCAGGGCCAACGAGTCCACAACATGCATAGCCCGTTTGGGTTTGAGAGTGTTGTAGAGAAATTTGCTCATAGAACTATTAGAACGGTGAATGAGCTACAAATTTTATTTTTTGGATAAAGGTAAAATAAAAGCTTAATATAGAAACCCATCTCATAACCCTTAGAGCTTTTATAATGGTTTATGTTATCGCGTCTTAACCTCATAACTTGCTATGAGAGCTGCCTACCAGGTCATCAAACTTCTAGTTCTCACATGATTTGTCTAATATCTTAGCGGTCGATTTCAGGTACCTAGCATAACAACATCGCTCAGGGGGTAGTATCAAATCCAAATGTTCATACCTGTCTAGATACTCAGCAAGTTCTCGCTACTTACGAGTAGTTTAATGTTTTGAGATAAGCATTACACAATTTCTTTATCCTCGAAGGACAAAGCATTACCACCATGATCACTACCTAGATAGTTTACGAAGTCGTCGGATATTGCTTAAGAGAAAAAACCGAGATTTAGGCAATATGTTGAGGGTTTAATAACGTCTTCGAGTGGCAGCTTCTCTGTTAATAAAATGAAGGATCAGTCTACGCATTGTCTTTGAGAAGCAAGAGGAGAAATCAATCATAGTAAATCCCTGATGGTAAGCTGGTCTCCAGCATCACTCTCCGGTTCTGAATACTATCTTTATTATCTTCGATACATTAAGCAACAACCCAGAGTATCCTAATTCAATGGCTCAATAACGAAGCTATGGTAGTGCATGCTTCTATACCTATGGACCTACTGGTCGGTACGTTCGAAAACCCCCACGGCTTACACGACGCTAGGACACAACAGGAGGGATTCTACCCCGGATAATTAAGAGTTGGAGAGTCCCCCCACGGCTCTCGGGGCAGGGGGCAGCCCCCGCGTCGGATTTCTTGGCGAATATTCCCATCTCAGCCAGCCGTCCCGAGAAAGTGGGAGGGAAATGTCGCGCAATCGTGTTCCTGTAGAAAAGCTGTACTGTAGAAAACCAAGCTGGACCCCCATCGACTCCGCTCCCCCGGCTTGTTTTTTTAGTCTATTAGTCTTGCCTGCGTCCTCCCTGCGTCCTCCCCCATCTCGAAAGTCCCCGCGGAACGGTTCGGCGCATATGCAAGTCATACATCTCTGATATTACGATATTACGATATTATCGATATTATGGACGAGCGATGTCGCGGTTAAATGGCGTCCCAGCAGTCCCAGCAGCAATCACCAGGAGACGGAGGAGGAGGAGGGAATGCTGCTGCTGGTGGCGGCGGGGGTTCATACAAACGAGCAAGCCGGAAGGGAGCTCCCCGGAGGTTTTCGTGCGACTGGGCCGGGTGCGACAAGATGTATTCGAGAGCTGAGCACCTTCAGAGACATCAATTGAATCGTAAGGCCAAGAGAGATCCCAAGACTATAGATCCTAAGATTGCAGATCATCTACTCTTAGTTGTAGATCTATGTCTATGGTGATAATACAATGCTAACGCGAATCCAAGATGCTCCCAAGACTATCTATACGTGCGACGTTCCTGACTGCACGCAAACTTTTGTGAGGCCAGATCTGCTGGCGCGCCATAAGAAGCGCCATTCGTCTTCGTATATTCCGAGGAACCGTACCAGCAGCTTTAGTATGCCTACTAAGGAATCTCCTCAGGAGATACCTCTGATGCCTTCACCTAGCATCGCTACGAATGTTGTAGGGCCGCCACGGTCGGCGACATTTCCACAGCAGCCTGCGAGTGCTCCGCGGAACGCAGCTGTACTCTTGACTTCTGACTCTCCAGTTCAAGCTCAACATCCACCTTTACCGCCTCCTATGGCGCCTACGCAACCAAGTCCGCTAACCCATAGCGTTCCGTGGACGTCTTCGATGGATGGCGTCAACATTATTCGTCAGAAGCCTGGCTTCTACGGTCGTGAACCACCACCCATGCATGACCATTCCACATTCGTTCCTTATCACAATGTGCCGGTACCGACTGATGCGAACGAGCTAGGGATTCGTGAAAACTTTGGCGTCTGGTTGTTTGACCCTCAACAGACGTATCGAGACTTTAGTTTCGCTAGCATACCATTTCTTGAAGGCGGGTTGGAATCACCGTTCAATAATAATATCCATTATGATCACGAATCACTCACTAGTCGATCCCAACTTGATCTTACACCCCCACGACATCCCGACATGCCCGACGAGCTTATTTCCGAGTATCGTCGCGTAGATGTTCTACGCTATGTTAAACTGTTCCATCAGAAACAGAACAGGTTCGACTCTAAGTTAGCTAACTTGATGCACGAAACTAGCGACGACATACCAGGTCTAAACTTAGAATTTCTACGAGATTGCATGCGACATTATTGGGATTTTGTATCGCCGAGACTTCCTATCGTTCATCAACCGACCTTCTCTTCGGCGCAATGCTCCATCCTCCTTCTCCTAGTAATGATTGCCTTGGGTGCCGCTCAGATATACAGTCGCGAATCTAGTCGGGAGCTTCCAGAATATAAAGCATTAGCCGACCTCATTATCTCCAACGTTCGTTTTGAAATATTAACCGCCGATGAAGCGTCTCCGCCGGTGGAACTCTGGGTCGCCCAGGCCTTACTCTTAGTGGAATTTTACGAGAAGATGTATTCATCTAGGATCCTTCACGAGAGAGCACACGTCTACCATTCGGTAACCCTAACACTGCTTAGACGAGGTAGCCCCTTAATTGGAGGGGCCGGAGCTGACTCGCCATCCGACGAGCAGAACGGAACGGAGCATCCTGCGACATCAGATGCGAGGACGTGGTGGATAAAATGGGCCCGGACGGAATCAATGCATAGAGTAGTCTTTGCCGCATTTATGATGGATATCGTTCATGCTGCGATGTTTGGACATGCGGCCGACATGGCCCCTCACGAAATACGCCTACCTTTACCTTGCGACGAGTCTTTATGGTCGGCGTCGAGCCCCGAGATAGTTCGTCATCACGATTCGAATTTTAGATTATACGGCGTCAAGCCTGTTTCATTTTTAGACGGGTTGAAATGTGCCATCCATGGGAAGGAAGTCCGAACCCACGCGTTCGGCCGTATGATTATTATGTGTGGGCTTCTAAGCGTCGGCTGGCACCTCAGACATCGCGACACGCATCTAAAGTGGCTTGAGCTAGGAGCTAGTTCTTCGGACACGAGGGATAAGTGGTGTAATATGCTCCTGAAAGCATTTGACGATTGGAAGACCAGTTTCGACCAGGCTATCGGCTCAAGTGACTCTGAGTCGGATGGCCCTGGACCGCAAGCTCATTCTAACGGGCTCATTCAGAGTGCGTCTGTTCTATACCACCTTGCTCATATTAGCCTGTATATCGACATTGTTGATTGCCAAGTCTACACTGGGGCTAAGCGGTTACTCGGCCGCAAAATTTCTACTCGAGATTACACTAATGTCGTGGCGCGAATGTCGCTGTGGTCAAATCAAATGACTACCCGTCACGCAATACTCCATGCCTTTAAGCTTCTTCATCGTATTCTGGTGGATCCCCGTCAGAAGAGGAACAATGGCTATGCGAATACTCCTATCGATACCTATGGAACACAATACTCGTGTCGGCGAGATCCCGATCCTCATCGACCGTGGATTATGTATTATGCTACTTTAAGCATCTGGTCTTTCGTACGAGCACTCACTCAATCTAGAGATCAATCAAATACTCTCCGACCATTCCCACAGCAATTACAGCGTAATACAACAGGGGCTTTTGACTACCTCTGTAAAGTGACTAAACTCTCAGAACTGGATACTTCGACGACGAACCTTCAGGCAAACCTCCAAGATGGATTGTCAAACTTGCTCGACACTATAGGTACTCTTACATCCGAGTCACCTTCTGAACTGCTCAAAGAAGCATGCGGTCGGCTCGACATATGCAAGCATATGCTTTACCACGGCGAAACTTGAGTACAACACTTTCGAGTTCTTGATCTTTATTTAATATTACAACTAGCATGGCGAATGTACTTAATTATATACCCTTAGCAGTATAAAACTTTATCACTACTATAATTATGAATCAGCTTCACTAGGGTTGGATTTGAAGCCTGGACGGTCAGCTTGAGGAACAAGTCTGGCCAATTAGAAGCATACACGAAGGCAAATTTCTTGGCGCGATTACAAAGAAGGCATCATGAGCATTGTGGTTCACGAATCTAATCAGACAAACAATATGATTAATGCATTCCACTTAGTAAGAACCCCTTTATTATATATACATAGAATATAAGAATGCATGATAGATAGTGTATAGATTATAAGACTAATCATGGCGAGTTATTGTATTTAACATAGCTTCCCTCTTCCCAACTATAAAGGGCCTTGCTCACGACTATAAAAATCTTATAGTCATGGCGTTTCCTAGCACCTGGACGTACGTAGGGTAGCGAGGCTCACCCTTTTGGAAGTTAATAAGAACTTGAAGCGTAGCCTGGAACTCACCTAGGCTTTTGGGCTTTAAGGCCATACGGCTCAGCTTCTCCAACATTCGTATCTGCTTGAAACCCGAATATCTGCCCCGGATTCCGGATAGTGCACACCGCTTGTTGTCCACCAAGACCTGCAGGTGCTTGGTGAGCTGTTGCTTGTACGGGTGCATCAGATGCTTTAGAATACGGCGGCGATCTTCATCGTCGTCGTCTTCTAATTCGAGCTCGTAAGAGTTGTCGAGGAGCGACTTGAAGAAACACAATGGGCAAGTTGACTGGACCGGGATCCATTCGAGCCTGAAGCCGCTATCGATGCCGAATCCTCGATGGACCGTCTCTACGATATGCGAGCAGGTATACATCTCGTGCGTTACGAAGGTCGGCATCTTGTCCGATCGTAGTACGTGAAAGATTATACCTAAGACCTGCCCGTAGAGATACGGTGTTTGTATTGGCTATGGAGGGTAATTGTAAGCGGTATAGCTCTAGATCATGCTAATGGGGTGACCAGGAAACGAAGAAATACAATATGATTGCGACTTGAAAGCTTTATATAACTACTCGTGTTTTTTCGAAAGGCTTGCAGGTCGTGCATATTCTCTTTCTTAAAATGGCACCGGGATAAAGAGGTTAAGTAGTAGATCCACTAACCAATTGTTTGTTTAGCCATCCTTATGACATATAATGCCCTATTGTCTAATTGTCTTAGCACTTTAAGTAAAATAACGTCACAGGCGTTTATGTGTTACTAACCTTTGGCATAGCCCTTTCAGTACTCTTTTACTCCATTCTACGCTTTAATAACAAATAAAAAAGCATTACCATTGGCTCTTTTTAGTTCTATATGAGGTCTGCACCTCCTACTTATAGTATTTATCTTTTATGACGATGAGTGGCTATGCATTGTTTGGTATTGTCTAATCGGGATAATGCATACAGGAACCAGAGTTTCCATCAAGCGTTCAGAAACTTAAGTACAACTCTATCATAGAAGGCATAAGACTCGGAGCGAGATACAGTTGTACTTTCTTTGGATAAATATTTGGATACCATTATAACTCTAGAGTCCAACCACTCGCCTTTTCCGTCTATTAGGTCAATCCTATGAGGCTAAAGAAGCCTCGTTGATATACCACGAATCATTTATAACTTGCTAGCTTCATCAGTGTACCTAGGTACCTATGCTTTAAGAGAAATTACGAAGATCGTTCTTGTAAACATGTCACTTTAAGATAGATTAAGGGCACCCAAGTGAAAAAGGTACAAATCAACAAGTAGAAGGTTCAATTCTATTTCACAGCTAGTGATCTATCATACCAGCTAAGACATTGAGTGTTTCCCACATGCGCTATTATAGCATTTAGTGATGATGATTATGAATTTGTTTACGCCTAGTGGACATGTAGACTATCTATAGTATTTGGTAGATATGAATATTATACCGTCGGGACGAAGGTGAATGGCTCGTGAGCTTTTAGTCACAATGTTGCAAGTAGGGGTGGCGGTAAAATCAGTAGTATTGACATGGACACACTCCTGACTTGGTTAAGCCGATGTTAGAATGTTTTTGCGATAATTGAAGTAGTAAGACATACCGAGGTGGGGTCATATTCGAGATGGCAATGAAGAGGCCGACGAACTCATGCTGATGACCGATTGCGATATGGGCTTTTCAGGTAGATATGCCACAGATTTCATTCGTCTTTCCCATCTTCCCTTTCCCTTCTGCAAATAGTATGAAGTTAGTATTTGGGTTAACGGGATGGAAGCATGATGGTTTTAGAACGTATTTGTAAGAATTGTAAGAACTTACTGATTATTGGATATTCAGGGACACACGATTGGGCCCATTCCCTAGCGTTGTCCCGAGACCCTTGAAGCCCGCTTGATCTCCCATACTTGATACTTGCGTCGGTACTGGTGTATAATGTAGGTGTCAGGATTCTACATGAGACATCTAGAACAAAGAACATGTTCAGTATATAGACGTAGAACCTTCTAGGTAAGGTAGTTAGAGTTCCTTGCGGAACAACGAAGTTGTTTCCATGCTGTTTGGTTCCACCTCGTGGCAGTAGGCTGGATAGTTTGTCCTTATACTCTTTCGTGATCACCAACTGGGTATCTCTAGTAGGTGGTGGACGACTTTTAGCCCTTGAGTAGTCTTCAAAGGGGTTAAGACATTATGTTGTGTTTCCCATACTTTTGTTGGCCTTGCGGAATGTAGAAGCAGAGGATTGTGCCTTAACTCTAGCTTAGGCTTGAGCCCCCATGGCTTGGAAGCCATAGTTTAGAAGCCGTGGTTTGGATAATACTGTTAGGTGATGTCGATTTTAGTTACAATTTTAGTAATTAATAGTTGTAATAAGTATTAAAGTATTATTAGTTGATAGGTAAGGGTTGACGAAGAGTGTAGGTAGTGTTAAGTGTTATGGTTGAAGTGAGGATGGTTGATTGCAGTAAGAGTGATTAGTTTTAGTAATTAGTTTTAGTGATGAATGGTTAAGATGATGGGAGAAAACCGTGTCGGCATCGACTTGTATTTATATTTGGCGGTGTCGAGATGTGCGCTGTACTGATTTCAAGTTGATGCCTGATTCTGATGTATCCTAAGTAACAGCGTTCCTAAAATTTGTTGATTGGAAAGAGCGAATTATTGATTTAACGTTTATCGGCCCGTCAATTGGCTGATTTTCGTTGTTTGCGGCCCAAGTACCTAGTTGATTCTATTTTGTGGTGTTCTGTACGTACCTACCTGAGGTATCTACGAAGTAACTCGACAAGTAGAATCACGATACCGGTATCGTACCTTCCCTCGACTTGAGAGACAATATGTACCTAACGTACCTACTTGTCGTCAGACTTAAATAATACTTCGGTACATGCCACAACACTTTGATTTATTAGGTAGGATCAGACATGATGATTCCACTTGACAGCACTGTTCTACAAATTCACTGCCTGTTACTGCCTGTTTATATTTAAGGAAGCCTTGGTACTTAGGTATTTAACACATGAAATAGTACAAAGGTAATATATCAATATAGATAAACACTAACTAATACACCAAGATGTTCATTGACCCGACCATGTATTATTCCAAAAAGGGGTATTGAGTCTGAAGTAGTTGTGCATACTTGTGCTTACTTCTGTGAGATATGGTTATCAAGTAAGTCTTTAGTCTATCTGGAGTTATAAAAATCATTTTACAATCAGTTCTGACTTGATTAGCTTATTGAATATGTAGAAGATATATTCTGTCTTTATATTTCATTCCTCAGATAATAGGGGGTGATTAGTCATCTACCATAAAATCGACAAGGTCTAAAAAGGGGCAGTTGAAGAGACATGATTGGCCCGTTTGACCAGAATCATCCAACAACGTAATGGTTTCAGAACCTGACCCAAGTGTCACAATCCCCAAACAAAAAAAGTTTCTAGTTTCCGATGAATTATTTAATGCTTTATGTTATGTACGTTGTACGTAATTGCATTTAATGCTTGCATTGAGTTTTACATTTCTCGAAACCTTACCTAGTTACAAAATGTTGCCACTCTGTATTGATGTTGCAACAGATGGAGTCTTCATTTAATATGGGGAATGTTTACTACGTAGTTATCGGAATCTAACATTGCGAATCCCCCTAACTGGGAAATCTCATATCTGGACCCTAGATTATTTCTTTGGTGTTTCTACCTTGACGATCAATGAAGATCAAGATCCTTAAGATATCATGATGAATCTAAGATATACTAACCCCTTCGCCTGGAGGTTTCATTAGGTACTCGGTAGTTAACGAAATACGATGAGATGGTAACCTAGCAAATGTAAAGAACGCCAACATAGCCTTATTAGAATCATACGTAAAAAGACATTTGAACTAATACAAAACACTCGATACTATCCGTATGGCATTTCTAAAAATACTCATGTGGGTTTCGCGGCGCTAAGTAAGGCATGATAGTGTTGAACGCGTACAACATGAACAAGCATTTTAGACGCGTTGCCATATATTCCATATGCTATATGATCGATTAAACTCGGCAGATCAAGAAATACCCGATAAATCTGGGGTCGCCTCATAATCTGCCTTGCGAATAAACATTCGTTCGGCCAAATGATGATGTGCGACGTATCAAAACAGGGGTCCCAGAGCTGATGCCCCAGGCGTAACAGAAACACACACGCACTCATCCTCAGCCTCACGGCCGTGCTCAACCCGGCGTCAGGGGTAGTCATGAGAAACGTTCGAGAAGAGATAGAATAGGAGTGAGTCTCGTCTGAATATATAAACATCAGAATGATCGCTTCGGGATCTCCAATCGAAATAATAAGAACAGACTTTCAGGCAAAGCTTAACATTCATCCCTACCTCCTATCATCTCATCTTCGTTTTATAAACATCGCTTCAAGTTTCTATAATTTCAAGAAACGAAACATCAAACATCAAACAATAAACAATAAACAATAACCAATAACCAACAGACAAAATGGTTCGCATCGCCTTCTTCGCTCTTCTCTCCGGTAAGCTATATTATCTTAAACCTCTTTAACCAAGCATAATACTAACAATCCTCAAGTTGTCGCCGCTATCCCGGCACCTCTCCAGCCTGACCCAGCTGGTGCTAAGAACGTAGGCAACGGAAAGGCTACCCAGTTTATCGGCGGACAATGCTTGAGCTCGGCAGACTGCGCATCGACGTGTTGCGCGGGAGTGACAGGCCAGAGCTTTGGCTTGTGCTCCGGCCTCGGCGCGCAGAACCAAGCCGGCAAGACAGGCTGCGGATTCGGCGACGACGGACAGGCCCAGAATAACGGGCAGACTCAGAACAATGGGCAGGCTCAGGCCAACAACCCAGCTACGAACTAAGCTGAGCCGTTCCAATTTGAGTGTTGCTGGCACTAGTGACAAACGGCAATGGACATCAGCCGCTCAACCGAGATGGTGGAAAACGTCATACTACTAGGGTAGTATGCCGTCTTCGGAGGAGAATATACTACAAAGTTAAAGAGCGCTGTAAATATGCCTTGCATGGTACGATAGAGTACGGTCAGAAGACCCTGACTATCATTCAGTATCTGGGATTAGTTATAGTATTTGGTATCATGTGGGTTCAGCATTACATTGCATCTCTAGAAGAGGCAGGGACGCTTCTAGAGCAAGGGAAATGGGTGGTGGACGCCTAATATATAGTACATCTGACTTTATATCAATACAAATATAACTAAATATTTACATTTATTAGGTTTGCATTTATAATACCTCGTCGAATTCCTGGTGTGGTTCGAATTGAAATGGATACAATACTTTTAATCTGACGTCCGTTTCACCATACCAATAATTGGGTTCGTGTCCAACGATACATCTGGAGTTCCACCTAGGGAGATCTGTTTCTAAGACCCCCCTAAATGGGTAAGCTGGACATCTGGTAATAACACTTTGAAGGAGACGGCGGCTAGTATTGAGACAATGCAATAAATATTCATTACTGGCTTGAATTTCAAATAACATCAATGGCAATTCTACGTAGAATACCTAGAGAGGCCTCCTAGTTACATCTTGCCATTCAAAAATCCCATATCGCAACCAGGCTCGTAGAAAATACCATACGAGTTAGTGTTTAGAACTATTCCGAACTCGACGCCTTGATTTTTAAAATGTACATGAATCAGGAAGCCCTTGGAGCTCCTTACCTGTAAACCACCGTGATCAATCGAAACCAAACCTCCTTTTATCAATTACGTGGATATGTAACCGCCGCCCAACAATGCAATATGACCACTCCCTATGGATGGACGAAATATTCGACACATCCCCCCTGCTTATCAACACCGTAGGATGCAATGGTCCGTTGACGCCATGTCTCATTATATACCCTCGTTAAACGCATATAGCGTAGATAGACCTCCCAGCAGCCGTGAATCTGTTTAAATAGATTAAGCTTCTCTCCCAAACCGGACATCAAACTCTCTCAAGACCCCCATGATGCTGGCTACCTGTACCTCGATGGGTGGTCTTCCCGCCGTATTTGCCGGTAAGGGGGTGGCCTTGAGTCTAGGCAACCAGGTTCCGATCTCGTCAGCTGCCTTGTCGAAATTGCGATGACTAGACAGCGTCTTGTACGTCTCTGCACATGATAGGTTGACGCCGGCCGGGGAATCGGTGGATGGTCCTGCTTCGGTAGATTTGCAGCATCCGGATCCGCCGGATCCGCCACAGCACCCTCCGCTAGACGTGCCTGTATTACGGGAAAAGCTTGCTGCGAGACTGCGGCAGAAGAGACCGGACTTAGGATCCTTTAGACACTGGGCGCAAGAACCTGGTCCTTTGGGGCCGCAACCACCGGAAGGCCGGGCTGTAGGAATCGGAGTGCGATTTAACGAATTGATACCCGGTAGTTTGACGGCGCCGGTCGATGTGATTTCTATCGGATGAGGACCTACATCATTCTCGGAAGGAGGCGGTGTCTGGACTTGTTGAGATACCGGAGGGAGCGTCTGCGATGCGGCAGCTTCGGCACACATGCAATAGGTACCTTCTTCGCAAAAGCCGCAAGAGTCTCGTGGCGGCACTGTCGGCTGAGTGGGGGCTTGGTATAGAACCGGTTCCGGAATCGGATCCTTCTTCTTGGCGAACGCGGCGGTGAAGTCGACCTCGTGAGGATAGGGCTCGGGTATCTTCTGTCTCTTCTCCTCCGGGGCTATGACAGACAGAGACGATTTCTTCCGCTTGAGTTCGGATTCCGAATTCGGAGCCATGTCCTTTACCATGGCTTCGAGACACTCGCACTTGGATCCAATGCTGCACTTGTTGCATCCAACAGCTGTGTCGGCAAGTACTTCCTCGGCACAGGCACAAGGTCCGTTGATTTCGCAGTTGCCACATCCAGCAAGATCAGTCGATGACTCTCGGGGGGCTCCCGGTGGACTCGACGAGTCAGGAGGGGAGATTATCTGCGAGATTGAAAAGGCCGTTGCCGAATTGCGATGATCTGATGCATTGCTAGCAAGGCTTCCTCGTGGAGTAGGATGTTGAGATGCAATGGTTAGCGGATTCGGTAGCCTTCCGTGCTGTGCAGCGAAACTTCCGTGTCTTGAAGACGTGTTGGCATCTTCTCCTCTCCATCGTCGTCGTAGGTCCTCGAGCTCGCTTGCTACTCTGATGCGCTCCTTACGCTCCTTCTCCAGCAAGTCCTCTAGGACTACGCATCTGTTCCGTAGGCTTGACACCTCAGCATCCAGGTCCTGCACTTGGTCGGTGAGCTGCTGCTGGTTTCGCTCGTACTCTTCCTTCTGTTCCTCTAGCTGCTCCTCTAATTCTCCGACGCGAGCGGCCCTCCTCTCGCGAAATGCACGCTGGGCAGCGCGGTTCTGAGCCTTTCGCTTAGTTGGTGGCGTATCCGTAGCAGGCTTCCGGCCAGGTTTGGGCCTCGGAGGAACTACCCATTCCTTGCTGGTGATTGAGGCTTTTGAAGCCATTACGGTAGCCTGTAGGGCTGCGGCTGCGGCTACAGGTTTGATGGCAAGCTGATGGGTTGAGGTAGGCGTAGAAACGCTCGAAATGGGCGAAGCAGCTGAGGCGGGGGAAGATGCAGCTGAGATAGGGGTTATAGCGAGTTTGGTTGGTTGGGGTTTGGGGTGGCCGTTGAGATAAGCAGAAGACATGGTAGCAGCAGAAGTCGCCATGTTATTCCGATTCTGGAGCAGAAAGGCAGGAAAAGCATTTAATCGATCTCATTCGTTGTGCCGCTCAGCGCTGCAATGCACATCGGACATCAGCGTGCGTCGAACCTTGAGATTTTCCGTGGGATTGACTCCGCAAAGATGCAGTCTGACGGTATCCGAGTTGGTAAATAGGTAAGTATATCAGAGATCGGTCTCTATCGACGTATACCTATTTTTTTCACGTTTTGCTATTCCTTGGTTCAAGGGAAGAAAGAAGAAAAGCGGTTAGGAGGTTTGTTAGGGTCCCCCCTCCCACGAATCAAGCAAACTTGGGGGGTGGCAGACAGTGATGTACCTAGGGACTGAACGCGAATGAGCGGGCCGGGCTGCCTTCAGGGTCTCCGAACTAGGGCCAAGTTGATTGTCCTTAAAGACGTTGGCCAAGTAATTATTTCAATTAGTCCAGAAAAAAAATATGAACTGGCAGCTGAGATCTTCTTGTGGAAGTCAAATAGGTGTGACTAAAGAATAAACGAATGAGGCAAACGGAATGACCGTTTGACAGGCTTCTTAGTCAATCAATTCGTTAGCTGAACCGGGATTGAAGTAGTATTGAGTATTGAGCGTTTCCTTCTTACGAGTCAACAACTGTCTTTGTTCTTCAGTTGGTTGTGGGGGGGTTGTGAGAAGAAGTTGGGGGGTCATGCAGAAGATCTCTCACTATCGAATAATCTGACTTAGAAGGAAGAACTAAGGTAAGGTAACTTACTTTATTGGAGGGGGGGCCGAGACTGACGACTATGGTAGTTGATGGTTCGAGATCATTGATCACTGATCAGATTGATAAGATTATGCCAGGGCCCTGTAACCCGCAGTCCACTCGCCTAATCCGAGCCAACAATGTCACATGGGGGATGAAAGGCCAAGATAGGATAGGCTCGGCAGCAAGAAGGAAAAAAAAATTAGACCATAGATCCACTTCTAGAGTTGCTCGGACCTGTCGGATTCCGAACTCGTTCTAACGGAAGGGAGGGATGTTGGCGTAGGCACCTAGGTTAGGTACCTACCTAATGGTTCTTATCCTTTCCTTATCGTATTTAATTACCCCTTATTATTCCACTCTTGTCTCTACCATCAACGATCAATTAACTGTACAATATAAATATCTGTAGTTGGAACGTCAAACGTTGAATTTGATGAGATATATGAAATTCATGACGTTCGGGTGTAACCGGACGGGAATTTGCTCTAGCCGAAGTTGCTTTGGTTTCGTTTGGTTCCTTTAGCCCCATTAATAGGTCATATTAACTGGAACCTTAGGTATTAACTGTTAAGCTAAGCCCCGCCAGGCCGGTACCGGAGAATTCGGTAAATTCCACCTATTCCACCTTAATTATGTAAACCATCAAAGGTGAACTCGGTGAGTTGTCGTTTTAGTGTAACCTCGACTTTTAACTTTACCCCACATCCAATTCCATTGATGTCAATTCTGCATGTACGAAGGTACCTCTTTAGTCTAGCTTAATCGTGACATGCGCATCAACTAGCACTCAAGCTACATCGAAGACTAGACTAATGCTCGTGATGTTCTAATTACTTGCATAAGGTCTATTCGAAAGACGCGATTTAAGGCTGATAAATAACATATATCTATTTCATATCCTTGGAAGGAAATATACCATCAACATTGGAGGACAGGACAAGCCCAAAAGACATATCATCACCAATATCAGACAAAACTATAATACCTCGAATGTCTCAATATATAAGACCTAATTTATCCTAACGACGCCCACTCTTTTGTCCGCTCCGCCGAGGCTCGAGATATCATGGCCCATCTCGCAGCACCGTCATCAACCAGACCGTTAAGCTCCCGCAGTTTCGCCTTAGTTTCTTCATCCGAGTCTTCAGATAACGAAGATGATGCTCCGCTCCCTTTTCCCACTGCTCTCCCACGGTCCGACTTCCTCGCTCCGGACTTCGACCCAGCCGAATACCTCTCCTCTCTCTCAAACCGCCATCAGACCTTAGAAGACCTACGATCCGACCTTAGGGAGCGGAGCGCCGCTATCAGCACCGAACTGTTGGAACTGGTCAATGCGAATTACACCAGTTTCTTGAGCCTAGGCGATGAGCTTAAAGGTGGCGAGGAAAGAGTTGAGGACGTCCGTGTAGCGCTGTTAGGATTTCGGCGAGCTGTCGAAG